TCTTATGCTGCCATTCCAAACCTTCAACCCAGTAGTACACTATCTACACTATCTACAGGATGCATGTACACTATCTACACACATCCTGTTTAATGTGGGTATCTTGTCATCATCGCAGAGACTAAAGAGATTATGCTGCATAGCATTCAAGACTGTGAACACAGCCTGAACCACCCCCCTTCCCATCAGCATGTAACAACACATCAACTCGTCCAATTCCTGGTTACAGGCAAGCTGTGATGGAAGCTCTCAAACACACTGTAGGGCAATTCAACACTAACAATGTACAACTGTAAAAACAATTATCGTCCTTACCGTGAGATGTAGTATAAAAGTTTAAAAAAAAAAAAAGTCCCTGAATCAGCAATTGTAAGTTAGTGAAAGAATGAAGTAAGTGATTTTATGTCTGCGATTCAAATCAAGAGCTTAGAGGAAAGAGCTTCTGTAATGTTCAACATTCATAAAACCGCATACTTTTTGTGGGACGTTCCCTGCGTACGTTCTGAACATTCCGAAACAAATCTTCCAAGCATAGAAAATGTTGGTAAAACACCTAATAGCAGTTGCTTGTCTCCCCCGGAAAAGAATGTTTTATCGCTTTGTGCTTTTAAGTGTCACGTACTGGATATTGTTTAAAGCGACTTTTTTTTATTTAGCATGCAATAATGAAAAACATTTGCATCCATTACTGTCTACGTGTAAATATTGGCGAGAACGCTTTCTAAAAGGAACGTTTAGCAAACTTTATGTATCACAAAGGCTCCAGCAACATATGCTTTAAAGCACTAGAACGCACGCCATAAAATGCGGAAGGTGCCTTGCGGACGCAAGCATAAAGCAATAAAACTTAAGCTCCATAGACAATAGAAATGGCTAAAGATCAGATGTAAATGTAGTTTTGCACTAAAGGAATGTAACAGTTTGTTGCTTAATTGTCCACAAACATTTTCAATTTCATCAGGCCTACGGGTACATGAATACATAAATACTGTAAGAAAGATGCTACAGCAGTCTCCCTTATGTCTTATTGGTAATTTTATAACTTGAATGTTTTCATAATCTGTTCAAACGAATAAAGTCTCAAGAGTTCCCATGCACACAGTTAAAGGGATATTTACTGTTAGGAGCAAATGCACCATCTGGAAGGGAAATCGACAGAGCACATCTGGTGTGATATGAATTAGCATTAATATATATAGTAATGGCAGAATGTTAATGCACTGTTAATGCCAGCATGAAACAAAATAACAGGGCTGTAAATCTCATTATATTAAAAGCGTAATTCTACAATATTTTTTAAATGAATTTTGTACAATATAATAAACAGTGGAAGAATGACGTTTATTGTAAGATCTTGTAAAGAATGTGCCTTTTGTATTTGGATATCATTTTTGTTTTAAGGTAGGAGATACAGAAAAATGTTCAAAAAGGCTCAACAAAGACAATGTGTAGTTTTGAAACTCTGCCACTTGAACATTTAGAAGAAATGCACTCACTAAAAAAGTGGCATTGCAGAGTTTGATGTACCTTCTATTACATATAATTGATGTCAGCTGTCCTGTTCTTAAGCACTTGTTTCATTTGGTGACATACTTAACCACAAGTATTTATAGATCTGGAGAATGTTTCAATTATATCCACAGAAAGAAGGAATTTGGGAAAACGACCGATCAAACATGCTTGAGTAGTATAACGGTGTTTTTTTAAATTGGTCCTCAAGTATCCTACTGGCCAAAGAGACACATAGGGTTAGCTTTCAGTCTTGGTCCTTAATCATTTAAAGGTACACTCCAGACCCTTTAACTTTAAGGGTTAACTGTATGCCCCACTTGCCCCGATTCATAACTGTGCCAATTGTTAGGGCAAACCCTGGCAGTCAATGCTTTTCTAGTGGTGAAGTCTTAGGGCGAGCTTGCAATGTGCATTAGGTCCCCTGGCCGTCGGAGCGAAGAAGGAACGAAGGCGTAACCTGATCCAGCACTGGAATAAGGGAAGTGACAGAAGGGGGTTTTAGCTCCTTGTGTACCACGGGGGAAGGAGAATCTAGGGAGGGGGTAATATAGAGAGCTATAGTGCCAGGAAAACAACTGGTACACAAGAGCAGAGAAGGGTTGTTTTCCTAGCACTGATGGAATATGCATTGCTAACTTTCTTGTCTTAAAACCAATACACCAAACCATGGTGATTATGAAGTTGGAAATGTCACTTTAAATTGTAATATTGCATTGGGTGCCCTAGGTGGCAAATACCCATGGTACTCTTCTGTTGTGAGATGGCTTAGATCAAGGTTGGCTAATAATATCTATAATATCTTACTTGTTTCTGTATTTACCAAAAGGCACCTTGCACTCAGCATTGTAAACCATCTAGAACCTGATTCATTTACATTATGCAAATACATTTTATAATATTTTTATCCAGGCATACACAGTCCTAATACGGCTGGCAGGTTTCTGACCATCGCGTTAAAGCATATATTATTAGCCAAATTAAGTAAAACACAGATTGTTTTTCCTAGTGCACATAAAAGCTTTAAAAAGCTTATACTGTCATGCATTATGTCCATTAAGTGCGCAATAGCACCATACAAAAAAAAATATATATCTAAAAGTAAAAAATACAAAATGCTAGCACTGCACATATTGCTAACGTTAAAATAATTTAGATAATGGAGATTGATCATTTGAGTATAACTACACAGTGCTGTATTAGCACTATAGTTTCCCTTTAACCCCTTAAGGACCAAACTTCTGGAATAAAAGGGAATCATGACATGTCACACATGTGATGTGTCCTTAAGGGGTTGAACCCTAAACCACAGGTAGACAAAAGGTAGATCCCCAGATATGCAGCTGCCATGATGCTTTGGCATCTCTACCTAGAATTCTTTTTTTGCCAAACCCTGTTCCAAACACATAAATAAAATTAAAGCATATGTTTAAAGTGGATGCAAAAATGGCAAAAATAAATGACAATCACAAGTCACAAGTCACAGAATGAATTTAGTGTCCTGATTTGTGCATCATTGTTCAAAGTCTTATATAGTCAATACAGCATGATTCTGCTTACTAGATATGCATTGGCCATTTGTGTTCAACACATGCACACACATTAGATGACAACCTTAGTATTATTATTATTTGTGGGGGGTTTTTTTTGCAGAGTGCCCCGTAAATATGAATAAAAAGATATATAAATGCAGAGCACAGCTTCCTATTTTCATGCCCATGTGATACAATCAAATTGAAATGCAAATCCAAATAAAATATATTTCAAATATAATTGTTTTTAATGTTGGGTTCTAGTATTTGGGGAAAAAACAATCTCTCAGCTTTACATTTGTTTAAAACTGGAATCTAAACTAGAATATCAACAAGATTATCCCCCTCCTGTACACCCTCCTATCAAACCATACTTTATGTAGAGCTGACGGTGGTAAATTTTGTTTGATTAATATAGAGAAATGTTTGTTTCAGCTGCAGAAAATGTATGAGATACAGCAAAATTGTTTACATTTAATTGGACGGATATATGCATGAGCATATATTCATGGACTATATAAGTATATCATATTCAGCAGATTATAAACTGCCCATGATTGTGGGCCACAATCACAAAAGTAGAACATACTTTCTTTACTATTACAAATTTTTCAAGGCATAGTGGATTTAATTGAAGAATAGGTGTAAAACAAATTAAGGGGAGAAATAGGTGCATGGTACAAAATGCTAAATGCAAGCTCTGCAGGTAAACTAACCAAATGGCTTTAAACATGTAGCAATTCATAAAACAAAGCAAAGGAGTGATACAAAATTGTAAAAAGAATTTGCCGAAATGGAAACATTTACACAGGAACCTAATTGAAGAAATAGTTAGCGTCAACAGCAATATGTGATTCTGACTGGAGCTTTCTACAGAGCTTGCTTAACATCGAAATAAAAAGTAAAATTCGGTATATACAAGAAATACATTTGTATAAATCAATTTTTTAATCAAGGCCTCCATTTTTCATGGTCCTGAATTATTATATAGAAATAGAAACTGTGCAAGTACACGAATACATGAGAAACAAAAGGTATGTGTACATTGTGTTCGTTACAGAATATAATTCATCTGGATTTGGTGGGTTGCATATGAATTGTGTAGGAAACCATGATTCATGTTTGAACCTGTGATGTAATTGAGTCTGGGTTGTGGTGGGAGGACCTAAATACTTAGCACAAAGGCATTTGAATATTATATTCAGCAGTCACCCACTGTGAACATATTTCAATAATTTAGTAAGCAGTGAAGAGGTGGACCAGGGGGTTAGTTCCACCAGAAGACTGTATCCCGAGTTTTCAGTGTGGTTATTCCCCTTGATGCTAAGCCTTTGATGTCATGCTTATTGGCGACCTTGTTATTGTTGGTTGGTTATGTTCTCATTCCATTTGATATATTAGATTAGTATACTATAGGGCAGGGGTATAGGCAACCTTTGGCACTCCACATGTTGTGAACTACATCCCCAGTGATGTAGCACATAACCTCTGGTGTGCCAAAGGCTGCATAACCCGCTTCAGGGGCAATATGTGAGTTTTTAGGAAAGTGGGACATCATAGCATAGAGTAGAGAATAGTAAAACAAAGAGACATGAGTGATGAGGGAGGTACACAAGAGCAGAGATGGGTGGGAGTGAAGCACAAACAGTGGGGGGAGATAAAGATGGAGACAGTATTGGGGAAACAATTGGTGAGGGAGGAACAAGCAGAAGACAGAAGATTGAGGAAAATAAAGTATAGAACAAAAAGGAGAAGCAAGATGCAAGTGGGGAAGAGAAGGAGAGAAGCAAATTACAAATTATGTTGTACCAGTCAGAGGGGGGGCTTTAGATTCCAGGTAAATCACTTTTTTTACAAACCACTTGAAAATTATTTGACCAAAGAATTGATGGAATATGCATCAATATCTTTCTTGTCTTATAACCAATACACTAAAGCAGGCTTCCCAAAACTCTGGCCCTCCAGATGTTGCTGAACTACAACTCTCATGAGTTTATGAATGAAACAGCTAGGCCAAGAATTGTGGGAGTTGTAGTTCAGCAACATCTGGAGGGCCGGAGTTTGGGGAAGCCTGTACTAAACCATAGTGGTTATAATGTTTGAAATGTCACTTTAACTTGTAATATTGCCCTAGGTGGCAAATACCCATGGTACTCTTCTATTGTGAGATGGCTTAGATCAGGGGTAGGCAACCTTCGGCACTCCAGATGTTGTGGACTACATCCCCCATAATGCTCTTACGCCCATAATGCTGGCAAAGCATCATGGGAGGTGTAGACCAAAACATTTGCAGTGCCGAAGGTTGCCTATGCCTGGCTTAGATCAAGGTTGGCTAATAATATCTATAACATCTTACTTGTTTCTGTATCTATTATGACATAATGACATAATGTTACCAAAAGGCACCTTGCACACAGAATTGTAAACCATCTAGAACCTGATTTATTAACATTATGCAAATACATTTTATAGTATTTTTATCCAGGCATACAAAGTTCTAATACGGCTGGCAGGTTTCTGACCATCATGTTAAAGCATATTATTAGGCAAATTAAGTGATACACACAGATTGTTTTTTGCTAGTGCCCATATAAGCTTTAAAACATGCTTATATTGTCATACATTATGTCTATTAGGTGCGCAATAGTACCATAAAAAAATTATCTAAAAGTAAAAAATAAAAAATGCTAGCACTGCACATATTGCTAATGTTAAAATAATTTAGATAATGGAGATTGATCATTTGAGTATAACTACACAGTTCTGTATTAGTCAAGTGCTTTAAAGCCAGTTAAAGTTACATCCTTTGACAAAGATGGGTTACTATTGGATCTTCAACTGTTTTGTACCGTTTCCCATGATGCTCTTCTTGGTAAACATAATCCAGAAGAAATGACATGGAAACGTTTTCCAATCTTTGTTATGTGAAATTCAGATATTGCCATTGGTAACCTGATAATGTACTTAGTTATTGAGAGTCTACATACTGAATGCATACCAAAACATTACATATAACACAATATATTTTTTAGATAAAAAAAAATGTTTTCTCAAAATGTAAAAATATTAGGAAAGATCATGTACTGATTTTACATATAGTAAACAGATACAAATTTACCAGGAAAATCACGTTAGAGTACTTACCATACTGGCAGCGAGGCCCTTGAAAACCAGACGGGCACAGACACAATTGGGTTGAACCTTGCACGCATTTTCCTCCATTGAAACATATCCCGGAGCTGCAAGCTGCTGCAAGATACAATGTATGAAATAAATGTCGGAATCTTTGTATTCAATGTAATATATAACTGCAGATGAACTGGATGAGCTCTTATGTTCAGTGAAGTATACAGTAAAACTAATAGAATTGTAATGGGCCAGGCCTTGCTCACTGCCTCAGATAAATAGCCAACATTTTCTAGCCTGCACCCCAGGGAACATTGTAAACCAGCAAGACAGTCACCCAGACATTTGGTCTCATAGGAATACATATCACATTTCTGGTTTCTTTGCTGAAGGAATATGTAGCCACATGCAAACCCATATGCCTCACGCAGCATTTTTTTCTGATGTGACCAGGAAGCAAAATATTCTGGGACAAATCAGAGAGGATTCTGGGTAAAGTGCAAACATTCATACCTTTGCTAACCATTCATAGCACAATGTGTAGAACCGGAATATTAAAATGTGACTCTGTCATGTTGTAAATTGAGAAAGTCCAATTTAAAGGGACAATAAACGTTTATCTTTGCACCCAGTGAGAGCTTTTTTTATTTATTGATTACTTAATTATAAAAGATGTGCTAGAGACAGTAGCACATTTAGGCCTAGGCTGGCATGTGTAACTTGAAAACTGCTAGCTCTAAGGATTACAATGTACATGGCAACTAAAGAAGTCCAATGGAGTATAATGTGTCTTCAATGGCTTGCTCCAGTTTTGAAAATTTGCCCCAGCATCATGTTTTGCCATATGTTAAGGTTGTATGCACTTTATAAAGCATCACCATAAGTTGAATGTAGCATTCTTAAAGGTAAGTGTGAATTTTAAAAAATCAGCCTGTTCCTTTTGGAATAGTTTTCTAATTATTCCTATTTAGGAGTAGGAGTAAAACGCCTATTTAGGAGTTTGGTGACAGAGTTTAACCCCTTAAGGACACATGACATGTGTGACATGTCGTGATTCCCTTTTATTCCAGAAGTTTGGTCCTTAAGGGGTTAAAGGGACACTATAGTCACATGAACAACTTTAGCTTAATGAAGCAGTTTTGGTGTATAGAACATGCCCCTGCAGCCTCACTGCTCAATTCTCTGCCATTTAGGAGTTAAATCCCTTTGTTTATGAACCCTAGTCACACCTCCCTGAATACGACTTGCACAGCCTTCCATAAACACTTCCTGTAAAGAGAGCCCTATTTAGGATTTCTTTATTGCAAGTCCTGTTTAATTAAGATTTTCTTATCCCCTGCTATATTAATAGCTTGCTGGACCCTGCAAGAGCCTCCTATATGTGATTAAAGTTCAATTTAGAGATTGAGATACAATTATTTAAGGTAAATTACATCTGTTTGAAAGTGAAACCAGTTTTTTTTTCATGCAGGCTCTGTCAATCATAGCCAGGGGAGGTGTGGCTAGGGCTGCATAAACAGAAACAAAGGGATTTAGTTATTTATAAAATATTTTACCAGGAAAGATACATTGAGATTTCTCTCATTTTCAAGTATGTCCTGAGTTTTCAAGTATGTCCTAAATGGCAGTGAATTGAGCAGTGAAATTGCAGGGGAATGATCTATACACTAAAACTGCTTTATTTAGCTAAAGTAATTTAGGTAACTATAGGGTTCCTTTAAGTGCCTGTTCTCCGACAGCACTGCTTCTGGGATTTTCTACTGTGATGTAGGATCTGTAGACAAAGAGCTAGGTCTCAAAGCCAAAAATGTGTCTTTATAAAGATAGTGATATGATGTTGGGAGCAGGCAGATGGATTGACTCCTGCCTGGGTGTAAGCATGAGGCAGAGGGATTGGTGGCGGCATCAATGCATGCCTGGAAAAATAGATTGGGCAGAGGGATCGATTCATTCCTGGAGAACGGTTATAATCCCTTGTTATAATCCCTTGTGCCTAAGGGGAAGAAAACAGGTCTGAATCCCAAGTCAAGAACCAGTCACCCCTGTTATCATTACAGAATGTTTAGGGTGGTACAGTAGAGATATTGCAAAGGATGGAGGAGATAGAAGTGTGATGGAAAACTACAGACTGATCATACAACATGACTGAATTAAAATAGAGTCAGCTGCTCCTCTGCATTAGGGCACCATCAATCCCAAATCCTGATAGAGTATCTGATCAGTATCAGTTGCTCATTGCTTCTATAGCAACAGTCACTTTTAATAACAGATGACGCAGGAATTGTTAATCCAATAATATTTTCATGTTAAAGAGAACTGCCAGCAAACGACAATACCTCATTAATTGGGGTGCGTTCAAAGTGAAAATACCGGGTAACTGAAAAAGTCCATTGAGTTAAGTGCATTTTAAAAATGACATTTGCTTCCATAAAACAATTAAAATTACACTTACATCTTAGTGGACAAATCCCATTGTATCACAATAGCCCTGACTTGGTATTTGTCAAGAAGGTGTTATTACGTCTGACTTAGACTCTGTGGATTCTTTTACACATGCAATTAGTAGATAATGATAAATCAAATCAATATTTTTTTTCTGATATTGGTTAACACAACACTGGATCAATTTTGTTAGAAAGTGGAGTACTTGAAGCTGTCACAATGTTTCTGCATGCTTTTTAAAATTTTGTCCTGGAATCACGTCAGTTTTATAAATATGGCCCAGTATTTTGATACATGTGTATCCAATAACAGTCTGGGCAATGTGCCAATAGGCAGAGCCTACTGCCAAAATAGTAGGAATGCAATAAGGATTAGTGAACAAAACGAGAGTAACAAATAAAATGTGTGGTGGGATCGCATCATGAGCAGCAAGTGATAATATTTATAGAATGTTGGTGTCCAATTGTCCATTAAGTGTCCATTAAGTGTGTAAATGAACATGTGCGTATACATTTTTTATTGTTACAAATTTCATTTTGATGCAGGAGAAACATGTTCGTTTTTTTCTCTAATGCCTTGCCAGAGAGCTGCAATGCAGAACATTTGAGTCTGAAAAATCCTTAAGACATATCAGCTTGCACTAAGACAAAGGATACTGTGTGCTGAGCTCTCCGCAAGCTTCAAAGATTACAAATGCATGTTTTCCATTACTTCCTAAGTTTTGAGCTACATTAACATATTGATATTATTTTTTAAATCTGCAACTTGCAAAGGTTTATGGACTTATTTCCTGGAAACATTCCATCCATCCATATCTATCTATCTATCTATCTATCTATCAAACATACAAATTGTTACTGACATTTTATTATCCAACATATTCTATGCTGATTTCCTTAGCTGTATAGGTACAGTATAAGGTCAATATTATGTGGATGTCCTTTCTAATTATTGAGTTCAGCTGTTTCAGCTTCACTAATTGCTTCTACATTCAGAGAGAGCCAAGGCACACAAATTCCATCATACTACAGACGTTAATTGGAATACGCACAACATGACAATGTTTCGGCCAACAGAGATGGTCTTTCTACAGAGATGGCCTTTCTCAAGTCAAGGGGGGACTGCATGCATTCTATAAGGCAGTTAATCCACATAATATACTGATGCCCCAGGCATTGCATACAAACCCAGCACATGGCCATTAAATCTTCAAAAAAACAAACGTTGGCAATGCAAGTAGTTGTACTAAAGAGTTTAGTGACTTTATAATGTAGCACTGACACCTTTGCCACAAGTCATTTTGTGAAATGTCTGTCCTACTAGATCTATTTTATTTGTTTTGTTAATTCTTTATTCAAGTTACAAGTGCAAATATAAAGTAACATCACAGCTGACAAAACAGTACAACACATATTTATATAAAAGAACATGTTTAGAGAAACATCAAAACAGCAACAACAAACGGTTCTCAGACAAATGCAAAC